TCCCACCTGCTGGTGGTCCTTTTATTTTATGGATCTGCAATCATTACCTACTTAAGACCCAAATCCAGTCATTCTGTGGGAATTGACAGATTGTTCTCTCTTTTCTACACCATCGTGACCCCCATGTTCAACCCACTCATATACAGCCTGAGGAACAAGGACATGATTGCTGCTCTGAGAAAATTATTCCTTAAAGCATAGTGTCAAGGATAACCTGGAATTGTTTATCACTGACATGTTCCAATTTTTCCCATTACCACTTTTAGATCAGAATTACCTCCAATTATGATGCATGGTAATTTATTTAAAGACTGACCTGGAATTTATTCTGCATGGAAGCATTGCACCCAGATCCATCTAGCCATAATTATGCATGGCTAAGAAAATTACTTTCTCAGAAGTAAAATTTCTGCATGTTTCACATTTTGACTATTATGGGCAAAATTCAAAATGGTATGCCTTGCTTTTTCAATTTCATTTACACTTTATGACCTAAATACTTCTAAATACATTTGTTGACATTGATCTATGACTCTATAATGTATTGAATAGTAGTCACTCATATGGGTTTTATAATGAATGTGTGCTGAACAAGTTATTGAATGAGTGAATTGATAACAACATTGGCAAAGACATTGATAACAACATTGAAGCAACATTCATTGCTACAGAGTTCTGCCTAAACTATCTCATTAACTCAGTAACTATCTCATTGGTAAGCACTGAATTCTATTATTTTGCTGTCTTCACCCAGTAGGAATTGTTCTATAATCATATTAACAAACAACTAAATTTGCAATTAGCTCTCTTCCTATGAAGACATCCCCAACACTCCTATCTGTGACACAAATGTTTTCATAGTGCAGATTCATTCCAACTTTCTCATGAAATTTATTTGCTTTTATGAATTTTAACTCTTTCTTAACTCAAATCCAAAGAGCTACTCATCAAAATACTCATATTTACAAAAGAAATGTGAGCCAAATGCCAAGTGTATTTTAAATTATTTTCAGACTCCCCAAATTCTTAACAGTTAGATTGAATTATTTTATGCTTTACCTCTTTCTAAAATGGCTAAATTATGAAGTCTTCAAATTGATATTATCAAGGAAAGTGAACATTGTTCAAAAGAATCATAACTTTCTATTTGTGCATCCAATATTAGAATCTCAAATCAGCAATTTTAACTAACCATGACTCCCTTCTGTAGTTCTAGGTATTATTTTAAAATGTTATTAAAGACAATGTTATCTATCATTGTGTTCACAGTTATATTTCTCATCAATCTGCTTAACACGTGTGCCATTTAGCAAGATATATTTCATGATGTATATACACACATACATACATAATGCATATCTATGCAGATGTGTTCATTATTATACACATATGTACTTATCATTTAGTGGTCTACCTATTTCAATAATTTGGCATATGTTATACAAAAGGCTAATTGACTTTTAATTTTAACAATAAAAATTATGACCATGGTGGAAAAGGTTGTGTTATTGATCTGTTACTTGAAATTTAGTAAAAACTTGAATAGCAATTTTATGAGTACAGTGTTTTCCTCTCCCAGGGGTTCTGATAATTGAATGTAATGAGTGGTTGAATAGACTAACTCTCTTCCCAAAACATTGACATTTAGTTGATTATATTTAGTATACTATGGCATTGGACATATTAATTACCCAGATGAGACAATTTATTTCTTAATACATTGGACTTATTTACTGTTCCATATATGTGTGGCTTAGATCTGAATGGTCACACAAAGGCAATGAGCAGATGCTCGGTTCTCAGCATGTATTATTATTAAGAGTGTTAAGATGTGGTTGCTAATTAGAGAAAATATGACATAGTGGATTTGATCTTGATGGGGATGACTGAGAACTCCACCCACCTTCCCTAATTTTCTTTTTTGTTGTTGTTGTGGTTGTTACTTGTTTCTTGGGCAATCACTTTAGATTTTTCAAATGTGTATTATACTCTTACTAAGATATTTTTCAGATTTATATGTAAAAGCCCATCTATGAACATGCTCACAGTAGAATTCAAATCCAACGGGATGTTCCAAGGGATCTAATACCACAGGAGCATAGTTGATGATTTATGCAAATGAGGAATCCACCAAATGAAGACCCAAAGAGAAAAATAATCATTTCAGTCCATCAGGACATGCAACAGATAAAGATTAGCTATCCATGCCCACATTCAAACCCCAGAATTTATGAATAGGACAGCTCATATGACTTAGAGAGTTTGCAGATGCGCACTCACCTATTAGAATTTGAGATCAGGAGGATATTGGCACAGGTTCAGCTCAGGAACCAGATTTTATTTTATTTTATTTTTATTTTTTGGGTCTGGTCGTGGGGCCTGAACTCTGGGCCTGGGCATTGTCCCTCAGCTCTTCAGCTCAAGGCAAGTGCTCTACCACTTAAGCCACAGCGCCATTTCCGGCTTTTTTTTTCTGCTTATGTGGTGCTGAGGAATCGCACCCAGGGCCTCATGCATGCAAGGTAAGCGCTCTACCACTGAGCCACCTTCCCAGCCCCACTATGAACCAGATTTTAAAACCTCATCTCCATCAATAAACCAAGCATGGTGGAGCCCAATTTTAGTTCCATGTATTCCAAGGATACTACCTACAAGAGGACAGTCATCTGAAGCTAGCCCTGGGGTAAAAAGTGATAAAAAAAAAAATACCTGAAAAAACAGCTAAAACAAAAAGTGGGCAAACACCTGCAGAGCAAGCAAAAGGCCCTGAGTTAAAACATCAATATAAAAAAGAACAATTAAGTTAGAGATAAGAAACTTATTCTGGAAAACCCCACGCAATCACATGTGCCATTAAATGAGGCAGCATATGCGAGGAGGGTTGAGTGGAGGCATTAAGCAAAAGCATGCAAAAGACCTAGCTCCCTAGTTCCAGGATCATTTGTCATTTGTATGTGTCAAATGCACTTCTAGGGCTTGCCCGCATAATTTGTCTAGCATTACTGTAGTGTTCCTGTGGGGAGGTTAGTATGACACTAATACTCAAGTTGGGAAACTGAGTAAAGCACCTTGCTTTTGCTGATGTGGGAGAGTCATATCCAGGCAGATAAAGGCCTGAATAGAGCAATGCTTCGAAATCCTTCCTGACAAGGAGAGGGCCTGCATACTGGGTTGGCTGCAGACTAGAATATCAGTTTTGTGTTGTCCTTGCTATTTGAACTGAGGCTTTAGCTTCTGCAGCCTGTGGACCTTAAAAAAAAACTGCATCATCAATTCTTTTTTAAAAAAATTTAGGATTATTTTTTATTATCTTTAAGTAGTTGTACAAGACAGTTTCATTCAATAAAGCAGTTTATTAGTATATAGTGTGTCTTGATCAATGTCAACCCTTTCAACATTCTCATCTACCCCTATCATGCAAAGTATCCATAAAACCAAATTAGTTATTATAAATTTTGACAGTATATTTTCAAATCAAGACTAATAATATTTCTATGACTATAATGTGTTTTAAGGGAAAATTACAAGGGCAATAGCCCTGTTGATTATTATTTCAGGGTCCCTGGGAAATGAGAAAGTTTAATAAATTTGTATTTTTTTGATGGACACTTGTTTTTTTGAAGGCTTCTAAAGCATAGAATTTATGTGTTATGTGTTGATGGATGGGCTGCAAAAGCAAAAACAAATTTATGTGCTATGTGTTGGTAGATGGGCTGCAAAAACCAAATCCAAAACAACTGTCTCTAGGGTTTCAGGACAATGGGCATTTAAGGCTTGAATTAGATGTGGTAAAGATACACTCGTTAAAAATCATGTGGATTCTTGTTCTTCAGAGGGACTCATTAGTAGACAGGTAACATATTAAAATATTAATCTCATAAAAAGTCACCAGCAAACCCATTGGGTAAAATATTATAAGAGAGATAAATGATAAAAATTTATGAATAATTCCACAGAAGACTAGCATATACCTATAAAAGACTACAGCTTTCATATCTGATTTTAAAATTAGATATGTAATTAAGATTGAACATTGTACATGATTTTGATCAGAGGCAGTCAAAATATGAATAATTTTTTTTAATTATTGAAATGTGTAAAAGTTTTAAATTGCCACACACCTCTCAGTTAGTAAAGAGAAGCTATGTGTCAAAGCTGTGTGATTTTTCAGTTGTGTTTAAATCATTGTCATCATCAAATCTTCTGTTTCTTTGCCCTTAATTATAGGAAAATATGTTTCTTAAGCAGCAAATGATAAAGTAAAGTCATCATCATCCCAAGATGCTAAAGACATAAAGTACGAATAATTTAATTGGTCAAGTGAAAAGTTTTGATTAGTGAAAGAGTTGCATGTTTTGAGTGGGAGCTGGGTGGCAAAATGGTGAAAGTGAATGAATTGTCTGCAGCACTGCACTGAACTCAAATTGCAACCTGGAGAGACACAGTTTATAAACAAAAGCAGTCTCCACTGAAGTCTCTATCCCAGCCACACAAAGTCGTCTGTGGGAAGGAAGATAGGAAAATATGGGAGCTCTCCCTCACAAAGTTGCCTGTTATTTTGACCAAGTAGTTAAAGTATGCACCTAATGCAAGAAAATCAAACAAACAGAGGGTCTTTGAGAATTATAGTTATCTTCTTCTAACAGAAGAGGAGAATGATACAGACAGCAATCGTCCATTATGGAAAGAAACCACGGGAAAATGTAGAAAGAGAGGTGGTTAGAATATGAGACAGAGGTGGTGAAGTAAAAGTTAAATCTTGCCCTGAAATACATATTCAAATTTCCAGTATAAAATAATTGAGATCAGCCTATGTAACAGGAAAGAACAAGAGAGAAATATGGTAGCTCTCAGACGCTGGCTTATGTTTGCATAGGGTGTCTAATTCTCCATAGAACCGGGGACTATTCATGGTAAACTAATTTTTCTAATCATAAATAAGAAGACAAAGAAGGTAAAGAATATTCTTTAAAATGTCCAGCCTTAATTCATTGTATATCCTAAGAGATCAATTTCCTGCTAATCATTTTCTTGAAGGCGTTTTTGACATCTTTGTTTCTTAGGCTGTAAATGAGAGGGTTCAGCATAGGAATGACCAATGTGTAGAACACGGAGGTCGCCTTGTCGATATCTAGAGAATGACCTGTGCTGGGACGCAGATAAATAAAAATGAGGGTACCGTGGTAAATAGTCACCACCAGCAAGTGGGACGCACAGGTGGAAAACCCTTTCCTCCTCCCCTCTGCAGAGCCCGTTCTCAAGATGGCAGCTAGAATGCAGACATAGGAGAGGAGAACCGTGAGAAGACAGATGGCCTCCACCAGGCTGGCAAAGACAACCAGAATGATGTCATGTACAAACGTGTCATTGCAGGACAGAGAGAAGAGCGGGGAGATGTCACAGAAGAAATGGTTGATTTCCTTGGAGCAGAAGGGGAGAAGGAATGTATTCGTCGTGTGAATAATGGAGCTCATGGTTCCCCCCAAAAAAGCTCCAAGGGCAAGATGGCAGCAGACCCTCCGAGACATAATCACAGTGTAAAGCAGTGGGTTGCAGATCGCAACATACCTGTCATAAGCCATGGCAGCCAAGAGGAAAGATTCTGAGTCAACCAAAGTGCAGAAAAAGTAGAATTGCGCAGCACAGCCATTGTAAGAGATGCTCTTCTTCTCAGCAATCAAGTTCACAAGTAACTTGGGGGCAATGACGGAGGAATAGCACGCATCGATGAAGGACAGCATGCAGAGGAAAAAGTACATAGGAGTGTGCAACTGGGAGCTGTGGGTGATTAGTAAAACCATCCCAAGATTCCCCATGAGAGTTACAGAGTAGATGGTCAAAAACACAAGGAAAAGAAAAGTCTGGAGTTCTGGATGGTCACTGAATCCCAGGAGGATGAACTCAGTCTTCACAGTGCCATTCTCCAAGTTCATCCTCTGTGTTGCTTCTGGCTTTCTAGAGTTGTAGCAGAATCAAGACTGAGAGACCAGGAAAAGATGAGCAAAAATAAGTAAGACAATGGTTCCAAATCCATGGAACATCCTGACACTAACTTGGCATGGCCACAATTAGCCTAGTGCAGTGCAGGTTTTAAATTTTCTGTCTGCAACAGAACTTACCTCTTATCTTCTTAATGCTTACAGAACTTTGAACTGGGCTATTTTCCTTTTACTCCCATTAACCCTCTCATCTACCATCAGTGTCAAGGGATAATGGATCATCTTCTTGATTTCGCAAATTCTGAATAAAGTATCTGTGCTCCCCTTTCTGTTAACAATGTGTGTGTGTGTGTGTGTGTGTGTGTGTGTGTGTGTGTTTGTGTGTGTGTGTGTGTCTATTGTAGGACTTGAACTTGGGGCCCGGGCACTGTCCCAGAGCTCTTTTTGCTCAAGGCTTGCACTCTACCTCTTTGAGCCATAGTGACACCTCTGATTTTGGGTGGTTAATTAGGGAATAGAATCTCTAGGACTTTCCTGATGGGGATGGCTTTGAACCATGATGCTCACCTCTCAGACTATATAGTAATTAGGATTACAGGCATGAGCCACTAGCTCTCTTCAGTTACCTTACTTTTTGTAAAATAGATAACACTGCTGCTTTTCCAAGTGAAGCCTGCTGGATGGAGAAATAGGAATTCTATTTATGGTTATGAGATACACCTTTTCTTTGAGCAACCAAGGAATTCCTTAGAGTTGTCTAACATCTTCCTCTGGTTTTGCAGCTCTGTTAGCAGCAGATAAGCAGTTGCAATACCAATAATACTTGCTAGTACCCATTTTGTGAAGAGTAGAAACAACAAACTTTCCTTCTTTTCCTTGTGAAAAATGTATTCTTGCATGAATTTATCATGCAAGGGTTATCAATTTCATTTTTTTTTAAATTATGGTCTTAAGACTCTTCTGTAGCAATATTAAAGGTTTAATTAAATTGCATTAAATCATTAAGCACATTTTCTATGTGTAAATATTACAATTTTGTGGTTGTACATATACTCACTCGAGTCAGGTCCTGGTGGCTCACACCTTTAATCCTAGCTACTAAGAAAGCTGAGATTCAGGGGCTGGGAAGATGGCTCAGTGGTAGAGCGCTTGCCTTGCATGCCTGAGACCCTGGGTTCAATTCCTCAGTACCACATAAGCAAAAAGGAAAAAGCCGGAAGTGGCGCTGTGGCTCAAGTGGTAGAGCGCTAGCCTTGAGCTGAAGAGCTGAGGGACAGCACCCAGGCCCAGAGTTCAGGCCCTACGACCGGACCCAAAAACAAAACAAAACAAAAAATAAGAAAGCTGAGATTTGAAGATTGCCATTCAAAGTCAGCCCGGACAGGAAAGACTGTGAGACTCTTCTCCAACAAACTACTCAGAAAAAGTGTAAGTCTGGCTGTGGCTCAAGTGGTAGAGTGATAGCCTTGAGCAAAGAAGTTCAGTGATAGTGCCCAGAGCCAAAGTTCAAGCCCAGGATGGGCAAAAAGCAAAACACAAAAAACATCCCAAAAGCATAACAAAAAAAAAATACACATTCAGTGATATAGTCTTTCTTTTCTAGTTCTCTCCACATATGTAACTACTCTGCCATAGATGATCTATCTTAATCCTTACACATGCATATAAGACCTCATTTCAAAAGGTGGCTCAGTGGTAGAGTGGTTGCCTTGCATGCATGAGGCCGTGGGTTCGATTCCTTAGCACCACATAAGCAGAAAAAAAAGCCAGAAGTGGCGCTGTAGCTCAAGTGGTAGAGCGCTAGCCTTGAGCTGAAGAGCTGAGGGACAGCGCCCAGGCCCATAGTTCAGGCCCTATGACCGGCCCCCCCCCAAAAAAAAAACTGCCCCCATGATTTAAGAAAGTAATTTTTAATGTTTCAGAGAAAAACAATGCAGGACGAATAAGTATATCATTCACATTCTCATCAAGTTCTTGTACATGTCTCTCTTTCTCCCTCCTTATCTCCCTTTCTTCTCAGGCAAAATTATAACCTCTCTGAGGTTAATCTCAGATATGGTTATGTCCCTTTACATTCTTATCCTATTACTGATAACCTTTTATAAACTTTAAGCAAAAATATTTTCTAGCCCTTTTAAAATTAGGTTATATTAATTGTGCAAAACTGTTGTTTGTTTATCTATCATTATAAATCTATACAACATCTAATACAAATCTCAGATGTTCAGTGTTTTGCAGCCTTAGAGAGATAGAGTTAGAACAATTGCAGCATAGAAGTATATTGAAAAGTATCTATACAACTTGTGGTGAGGAATGGAAGGGGAATACTAGAAATAGTGAAGGAAGGCCTGACATTGCTCCCAAAAGAAATATGCTTTTTGCCTGATTTATGCAATGCCTCTGTAATCGCTTTAATAATGAGGATAAAAAAATTTAAAAATACATTTTATTTTATACCTACATAAAATATTTTTGATTGTATTTATCATCTCCCACAATGACTCTCTTTGGTTTCCATTTCCTTCTTTGTCTGGTCCCCTTACTCTTCTCTACTAGTCTTTCTAATTCTATGGCTGTTATTATATTCTAAATATTATATTGAAGAAAAAATATAGAAATGTGGCCTATCTGAGTTGGTTTCATTCTGCTTAACCTGATGGCTTCACATCCTACACACTTTTGTGAAAACAACATGATCTCCATGTGTTTTTAACTGAGTAATATTCTCTTTTATAAATCTTATTTTTTAAGTTTTCATTGTTCTGCAACTTGGCTGATACTATAAGTTGGCTACTGTTAAAAGTGTGTTAAGAGACAAGGATATGCCAGTGTCTCTATTCTGTACTGTATTTGCTTTCTTTCACTGTGCAACCAGTAGGCTAAGCTGGATTATGAGGTAAGACTATTTTTAATTTCCGAAGGAACCTCCTCACTGACTCTCATAATAGCTGGACTGACTCATGTTCTAATACACAGCATATTTTTTCTTTTTTTATTTTCCTGAATCCTCCCCCATGTTTGGTGCATTTTGTGTTGCTTTTGTTATTTTCTTCTTGCTAATCTCCCTTCAAGGCAATGAATTCTAACAGATTTTTGATTTGCATTTCCTTTATGGCTAACTGGTCTCTGAACATTTTTTTAATTTATTAATCATCCATACATTTTTCCTTTGAAAAATATCTCTTTAGTTTATATTCTCATTATATATGTATATATATATTACTGTAAAGATGCTGTTCAGAGGGGTTACAGTTACATGAGTAGGGTAATGAGTCCATTTCCTATCGAGCATTGTTACCTCCTCTTTTGATTTTCCCCCCACCATCACTTCCCTCCCTTCCTCCCCTACTCCTCCCTCCCACCCCATCAATATTTTAAAGTTTGTTTTCAGCATAGTGTCCTGTATATCTCATCGTCACAATGGGTCAACCTGCATCCCCATTTAAGCATTCCACTATATCCCTTCCCCTCCCCAAATTACAAAAATGTATATATAAGATGCAGAACACTGGAATCAAATACATTGAAAACAGGGATCATACCATGTGGGAAGAACTTACAAAAGAAACAAAAAAGAATCACATAGCCAATATATGGAACCAACCCATATGCCCCTCAGTAGATGAATGGATCAAGAAAATGTGATATATATATATATATATATATATATATATATGTATATATATGTATATATATACATATATATATATATATATGTATATATATACATATATATACATATATATATATATATATATATATATATATATATAGGAATTCTATGCCTCCATCAGAAAGAATGACACTGCCCCATTTGTTAGGAAATGGAAAGACTTGGAAAAATTATATTAAGTGAAGTAAACAAGGCCCAAAGAAACATAGGTCTCATGGTTTATCTTGTTTGCAATGACAAGTACATGTCTATGACAAGCAGAGAAGGTCAAAAACTATGTACATATGACCATATGAGATGATGTTAACCAAAATGTACCCCAAGACAGGGACACAGGAATTTTTTTCTTTCTTGCTATTGTTTTTAATGCACTTATAATGCACTATGTGATTCTTTTGTTTCTATTATATTCTCATTATTATTTAATATTCTGATGTTTACTTTTTGAGTATTTTTTGTTTTCTGGATATTAATGTCCAGTCAGATGATCAGAAAATGTTTTTTTCATTCTGGTAATTGATTAGGTTAGTGTCTTCTTTTACATTAGCCTGTATTCTCTTTATTTTCTTTCATTGAAGGGTGATACTTTCCTTGTGTATGTGTATGACAGTTCTGGAGCTTGAGCTCAGGGCCTGGGTTCTGTTCTTAACCTGTTTTGTTCAAGACTAGTGTTCTACCACTTACCCATAGTTCTACTCCCCCACCTCCTCCCTGGTTAAGTGTAGACAAGAGTGTCATGCACTTTCCTGCCAGGGTGGCTTTCAACCATAATTGTTAGAGCTCAATCACCGGATTAGGTAGGATTACAGGCATGAGCCACTGGAGGTTAGCCACAGGGTAATATGTTTTACCAATCAAAAGTAGTTGCCTTTTATTCCTAGGACAACTAACTTGTCATCTTCCTCTCCAACTCAAGTAAATCAAAGTTTAAAGTGCCTGTTTTGTCTACACACAAGAATCTGTCACTCTGTTACTGAACAGCAAGCTTGTTTAGTATTGCTTGTCTTGTGAATGGAACTGCTGCAAAAAAATAATATTGTTAAAAAAATTCATTTGAACTGGGGCTGTGGCTCAAAAGTGGAGCTCCTACCTAGCAACATGAATCCCTCTGTTTAAACCCCAGTACTTCAACTAAAGATATACAAACAAATTAATAATAATAAAAATATTGTTGGAAGCCTGTACATAAAGTCAGTTGTCCTAGCACTCTTCGAAGCCCTGAGGTTTCATCTGCAACACTGGGAAAACACACACACACACACATACACACACACACACACACGCACACACACATGACAAAAACCTACTGATCTTTGCATGCTATGTTTACCAGAGAGAG